GATTAACTCTCAAATAGGATTTACTCTTACAAGGTAGAGATAAACCACAGTTGAGAATATTCAGTTCAACTTGCTACAGGTCCTATAGGCTGCTCTGAGTTGGGTGATCAAACAGATTTTGATTCACGCAAGTGTCTTTGGGATGTGTGTTTCGCATTGTAAGACAATTTCTGTGAGGAGAATGATCACTTGAATCTTTCTGTGTTTGTTTACAAGCCAATATATTCAATATGTATCTGATTCTTGGTATGAAGATCTATGGAGACTGCATTCTATATAATGTATTCAAACCTATTACTTATTAAATACTATTTAATATTTCTCAAATGAAATACTTATCATGTCAGATACCAGAATATCCTACTTTGAGAAACTCGGAATTGCATCTTTTTAATAGGACTGAGAATGTAGTCCTATTGCTTTGAACAGCATTACAAAAATCATGAATGCTCTCTTCTAAACAATTATAATAAAAACTAGAAGCCCAGTGTGCAAAATCGCACAGCCCCGCCCACCTGCATGCCCCTTGCCGCTGTGGGAGCAGGACCCCAGACCTGCCGAGCCGCCACGGTTGTGGGACCCTAGACCCCGCCGTACCTTGTTTGGTAGTTACGGCGTCACTGGGTTAGGGCCACGGACTTTTTATAATATAGATTTCTTTTTCCTGCAACAAATTTGTGAATATGTCATTAATTCTTCCCTAGCTAGAGAAGCTCATGCTTTTCCAACCCTTGAGCTCTAAATGAAATGATGGAGAACAAAATGACAAAGGCTAATGGAAACGTCAAGTGCTCCCGGAGAAGGAAGGAACGTGGCCTTCAGTCAAAAACTCCGAAATGGTGGGGAGGAACGTGGGTCCTCTGGCAGGTTTGCGCCTAAGGATTTCGGCAAGGGGATTTGTGTTCTCTCTAGTTCTCTTTTCAAAGCAGTGGCTCTCTTCCTGAGGACTTCATGGATGTCCAGTTTATGAAATATAGATGCCATTTTTTAAAAGAGTCAAAATTGCTTATGAAAGTCACTGCTTTCAAGTGCCGGTAGCAGGTACACTTGACCCTGAATACAACAGTAAGCCGTCCTTGTTCCTTCCTATTTTCCTGGAAAAGGGACACATTGAATAAAATGATAGAACTGAGCTGGTGAGTCATTGCATGCAGCCGGTCTCACTTGCTTCAAGTTTTACCATTTCTTTCAGGACTCAAAATAGCTATTGATGCACAGCGTCCAAATTTTCTTTAAGGGCCACATTTCTTTTGTATTTGAGGGCATAAGTAATCTTTCAAATAGGCAGAACATGTGTAGAATCTTTGCTAGCTGGAGTGCATGAGAACAAAAGGACCACGTGTGTGTTTCATGGCACATGTTCTGGAAGACAGAGGTCCAAGGGAGAGCAATCTTGTTCAAACAGCTTAATGTCATAAATGATGGAAGCGAGGTCCACAGAAACAAAGCCGCACAGTGCAATTAACAACTATCAATACTTCAGTTGAAAAGGAAGACATGGAGACTGTACAGGTAAGTCTGAAAGGTAATAGAGATGTTGGTACTTGGAAGTGTAAATAATTCAGGCTTTGAAATCACACGTCTAAAATTCAAAACACATCACATTGTCTAAATCACCCAAGACCGTCGGGAGTTACCGTAGCAGCCTGGTGGTGCTGTGCAGTGTCCTGCAGAGGTTATGCTCATTTCAGTCCCTAAATGGCAACTTAGCCATTTACAAACAAGCAAGCATCCACGAGGGAATCACTCACCCACAGAGTGGTCACCGAGGCCTGGGGACAGGCTATTTCTTTGGTGAATACTCCTGCCCTGCTGTTTATCTTAGTTTTCAGGACACCTTCACTCACTGTAATAAACTCTATCTTGAGCTTTTAGATCTCATTCCAAATCCACGTATGTAGGGAGGTTCTATCTTTATGCAAAGCCTTTATGAGGCTCAAAACTACCATAAAATAGGTTTGCATATATAAATTACAGGCTTTATTTCTAATTATCTCTAATCTCCATATCCAATAATACCAGAGAAATGTCTGTGTATTGAAGTTGGACAACCATATGCTAAGGAATGACAGAGAAAAGAATTAAAAAGTCAAAACCCAATGTATACTATACAGAAGAGGTGAAATAGAGAACTAGCTAAGAGCTTATGTTCTGTTTCAATTCCTTTCTACCCTTACAGAATATCTATAATTAATTTTGTGATTATCATGTATAAGCCCTCTTGGAAACCTGAAGATGTAAAGATAGAAAGACAGAGTCAAATCTGTACTCAGTAATAAAACAAAAGGTTGGGTTATGTTGATAAAATAAAATATTCATGATTTTAGTTTATTTTGTTGAATTTATTAATAACCTTTATATATTTATATTTGTATGGCTTTGAGCAAAGACAAAAGAAATACTCTACCGCGTCCCTGATCATACAGTTGTTGGAAGAATCAGCTAGTCTACTATTTCCCCAGCAGCAGAAAGACCAGTCTTTTCAATAATACATTTCTTTCTGTACAGATTAAAACTCCATACTCATGGGCTTACCTAGGTACAGAGAAAAGAGGTCACTTGTCAACTAGCAATTGGCTTTTATGTTACAGGAATGTGAGTCATTTTTTTTCTTCACCTAAGTATATAGATTCATACATAGATGTAAATAATTCACCCTGCACCACTGTTAGTTTAACATACAAACCTTAGCTTTTTGTCCATTCTGTTACAAAGAGAATAAAAATTGTTTTGGTTGCACTAAAAGACCATGAAATTCAACCCTGCTCATGTTTCCCAATAGTCCTGGAAATAAAAAGCCCAAAATGTATCTATTGTATAAAAATATTTCACTACCAAACCCATTTGTCCTATCAAATGTAAACCTTTAATAATTTAAAGGATCAATACATGATCTTAATAAATTGACATTAACTCTCCATCTTTTAATAAAATAAAGGAGTTTTGTACTGATATGTAAATGGTCTTGCAGTTTTCCCATAGGATCTAGGTAGACTGAACAACCCCATTCTTACACCGTTCCCGACACGCCATCCTGCTACCAGCGTGGTACCGATAACATTACATTGGCTAGCATTGTTGATCCACACGAGCTGGGATCTGTCAGGAATTAAACACAATGACTCATTTTGGTATTATAGATGTTTTTCCCCACAAAAGGCATGACAGGCAGCATGGATCCATTTTAGAGTTTTTCTTTTGTTTTGTTTTCTGTCTTCAAGTCTGTTTGGGGGCCCTCCCCATTTAATGTGGGATCTTGCTTAAGTTCTTCAATGTGTCACCAGCGTCAAAGATACTGAAGACCTCCACTCTAGGCCATTCTCTCACGTTGGGTTATTTACAGAAGTTGGTAATTAGGGATCCTCCGATTGTGTTCCAGTCACCCGCCACGTTCCTGGGATGCATTAGGCACAAATCATTACTACGGGGCTTCCTTCAGAGGGCGAAGATGCTCCCGGATCATTGAAAGAGTTAAGGAAACAGACAGATACACAAACAATGCTCACATTCAGTTCCACCCTGCTTTCCATCACCATGTCTAGACTTTTCTCAGCACTTTTAAAACAACACACCTCCTCTCCAAGGCCCACATTAACACCATATGCCTTAAGATTTCCTAACCACTCAGTTACAATATATATAGAGCGAAGCGTGTGTTCCCAACAGACATGATGCTGCTCTGAGCATTTATTTCTTTAAATCAACACCACAGTAAACTGCCAACTACAGTGAAGACAGAACACACGGGCAACTCCAAATCAAGCTGTGATTTACAAGTCATTATTTAAATAATAACAATAATAGTAATCATATTAAAAGAAAGTAAAAACCTCACTTCTAGTCTTAAGATAGAGTTCCATCCGAGTCAAACTTACAGAAATTTTAAGATAGGCAATTAATAAAATTGGTATATATTTCCAGAAATGAGAAATGCTGTAAGCCTTTCCCTACAATGACTGCTTTCAACCTATCCCCCCCTCAAAAAAAAGCATGCAGGGATATTTTCCAATGCTTGATTATGGCAAGAAGGAAGAAAAGTGATGGTTCTTGGTGTAATACAAGCAATTTGTAGAATCGAGCATACAATTTTGCATAAAACATTGCAGGTTAAAATAACATTGTAGGTTTCAAGCCATTGCATTACAGTTGAATAATTGTCACAATTAGGTTTTGTAAAATTTAAAACTCTAGATTTTGAAGTGAAACAATAAAACTAAATTCTTAAGTGATGACTTTGACCTTCATTCAGCACGGAATAGCTATTTTTTATTTGGGTTGAAAAGATTATTTACAACTAACATTGATTGAGTCTTGGAAAAGTCCAATAACGCAGGAAGAGAAATATCCCCTCGCTATCTGAATGAACAATGAACATGTTTGAGGTTAGAGATATTCCTAACACTGGCTGCTACTCTCCTACTGTGGCCAAGCATATACAACTGTTCTTTAACCTACGTCAGAATGGAAAGCACCAAATGACAATTTGGATCTATAAAACGGGATTTTCTATTTCACCCTCCATAACGAATGATTAACGATTTAGATGCAGAGACACAGCTAATGAAGGAGGTGTTGATTGGTGCCATTCAGTAGCTCACTTGAGCTGCCTTTTAAAATCAGGGTTTTGTTTGCATCGAATCCAAGAACTCTTCCTAAAATATAGAAATACATATATCAAAGGAATTCAGGAAAAGCAGGTTAAAAATAAATAATCTTACAACAACATTTTAAATCTTTTTTAATGATTTAAAGCAAGGAAGACATATATAACACTGAATGCTAAAGAAGTCTTTGAATTTCTCTTGGATTTTAGATATATATTTAATAGTATATGTATATATATATTTATATATATATATATATTTTACATTTTGCGTGTAGGCCAGAGCTGTCTAAAATATCTCTTCATAATAGGCTATAGGGATGTGTCAGGAGATAGAATAAAATAAGATCTGAGAATGTTCTCGGTTCATTCGAGTCTGTGTGACAATCGGCAGGGATCATAAATTTGAAGAAAATCGTGGCTTTTCCACCTCTGGGTCTGTTTTTAAGACTGAGGAAGGCTCTTTCTGAAGGGGGGCCGCCGGCGGAGGGGGTGCCGGAGGGACTCCTCGGGTGGGGGGAATGGCTCCCGACGACATCTGTCGGAACAGGGTCACCCTCTGGGGGACAGTGCCCCGGCCCCCCGCCTGCAGGCTCCCGCCGTGGACGGCTGGCACGGGCTGAGGGATGGAGGCCAGGGACTCGCCCACCGTGGGGTGCGGTCTGGAAATCGGGGTGGACACCTCGTGGGGCAGCGAGGGCTGCGAGGCAGAGAGGGGCCTGACCTCCCGGCTCAGGCTGGCGTTGTGCAGGGCCTGCGTGCTCTTGTGCACGTCGGTCTTGGGCGTGGAGCTGCCGCTGGGCGTCTGTGGCTGCGGGGGCTGCTGCGGAGGCGGCGGCGGGGGCTGCGGGGCCGGGGGCTGCGGCGGCGGGTGCACCAGGGACAGCTGCGACGCCGTCGGGGAGGCGTAGTGGAAAGTTCGGGCGGCCAGCGGGCTCTGGACGGGCGGGCTGCAGACGGCCGTGGTGTAGGAGCAGGGCGAGAGGATGGCCGAGGGCTGGGGGGTCTGCGTGCTGGGGCTGGGGGAGTGCAGGTTGCTAGGGGACAGGCTGGTGGCGGTGTACACGGGCGGCGACTGGGTCCTCATGCGGGAGGTGGGCGTGGCCGTGGAGGCGGCGTTCGGGGCCGGCATCTGCGGGTAACTGATCGGAGCGATGGCCTGCACCATCTCCCGGTCGTGTTTCACGATCTGCTTCAGGATCTCGTTCTCCTGGTTGTTGAAAACACCAGTGTTAAGATCCTTCTGGAACTTTTGCAGAAGAATTGAATTTTTCTTGCCTGTCAGCGAAAGAAAAATAAGCGCTTAGAATGCCTACCCAGGACAGGCGGCAACTCCCGGGGACAGTGGCTCCTGAAAGCAAGTCGTCAGTGTGCCCTCGGGCAGGTTCCGAAGCCCAGTACTCACCTTCACAAACAGGAGCGGGGTCCTGCCCTGGCGCTGCCTGCATCATCCCGGAAAATCCCACCTCCCATCCAGGTCAAGTTGAAAAAACTGTAACGTGGCAAAAGCCATCTTACAGATGAAATGGAGAGTGAGGGCTACGGTGCAGAGCCGGGAAGATAGGGCATTGGGGCCAGGATGGGCCTGGAATCAAGATTTGAGTTGAACGCTTCTTTTTCGAGAAAGGACAGTGGCACGCCGACCATGTGACAGGCCATGGGTAGGTTTATTTTATTCACCCCACTCTTTGAGGCGTGCTCACGCCCACTGCGACAGAGGGAGAGTGAGGGCAATGCCCAAGAAAATGTGGCTCCTGAGTAACTGGGCTGGGAAGGGAAAACAGCAGATGTGACATAGATGTGTCATCCTCAACTAACCAGACACACCTGTCTCACGTGAATGCTGGACCCCAGTCCCTGGACCTCACCCACTGCTCAGCCGGAAGCGGCATTTTACTGAGCTCCCCACATGCCAGTCAGAGAAGCGAAGGAATTTGTTTTTGACCAGTGTCCTACTCCAGTGATTCTCTACCCTCCCTGCATCTCAATCTCATCTCTGGGCTTTCAAACACACTGAGTTCCACCTGTACTCGACCACTTAAATCAGAATGAGCAGACTTGGGGTCCAGGTTTTGACACGATAACAGCTAATTTCCCCCCAGGATTCTTCTGCACCGCCCTCATTGAGGACCACATCACAATCTTCCTCATCTGACAGGCTGTGAGGGTATAGTGCAGTGGTTCTCAACCTTGGCTGCAATTAGAATCACCTGGGAATCTTTAAAATCCTGATTTCTGGGCCTTATCCTCCGGAAATTCTGTTTATTTGTTATGGGATGAGGCCACAACATTAGTAACAAAGAAACAGAATTTCTGGAGGATGAGGCCCAGAAATCAGGATTTTAAAAAGATTCCCAGGTGATTCTAATTGCAGCCAAGGTTGAGAACCACGGTTTGTGGCGGGCTCTCAGCTCACTCCAGAACTCAGTCACCATAACCATCACCCCTCCTTCCTGCCATTGTCTCCCCAGGGGTCTGCAGTTAGCAGACATCCTGTGGCAGAATAACTACCAGCACCAGGAGTAGGCTGATGAAAGATGGGAAATCAGTGACTTTTGATGGCATCATTCATACCCAGGTGAACGTGGTAACTAAAAAGTGAATTAATTTGCCCAATCACTTAATAAAGTATGACATCTAAAGGAACAAGAAATATTTTTTGAATGAAAATATATGCTATAATTTACTCAATGCTGAGAAAAACAATCATTTTTATTTTATTTTTGATCTTATTGATGCACAACTGACACACACATTCTATTAGTTTCAGGCTGCAATCATTTTAAATGACTGACAGAATGGATAGCTGTCTATCTCTCCTTTCAGAATTCACCTACCTTCCCAAAGAACAAACACCTCTAGATTAGGAATAAATGTAAATACTTATTTAGCATATTCCCTTAACTAATTATACATTTATAAGAAATGATGACAATTGAGAAGGATTGCATTTCTTTGCGATCATGTGAACAGTCAACATTTCATAATCTAATATCTGTGACCTTGTGGAAAAATACTATAACTTTTATTGTACTGCTAGCATTTTATAAGAATTAAAAATGCAAATGTTTGGTGCATACTAGCAATTTCATTGCCTATACTATTAATTACGAACCATTTCATGCAAACCTTTTTTATAAACATAAACTGCAATAAATTAGAGGAGAATGAAGCTGTATCAGATAAAGAGACATTTCCTATTGAAATAACCTAATTTTAATGCTTTCTCTAAAGATGTGGAGCTGGTTTGGGAAAAGAATTTATATGCTCAGAAATTAGTCTCTAGTTCTGCATGAACATTCATGCACCACAATGAGGGAAGTTACTTTCAAATTAAGTAAAGATGCTTTGAGGAGTACTCACTTCTTTGATGGGCACTATGCCCTGTTAAATCTCTAAGTTGTCATTGTGAGTTTCTAAGGTATGAGTTAAGTCTAATGGTAATATCCAAATACTATCTTTTTTCTCCTGACCTAATTTCAGATCCTATGCAGTCTGTTATCCTAACATTGATGGAAGGAAAGAGGTGAAATGCAGCAGAAAAGCTCACATATCCATACATCAATCACAAGTCCTTACCTTTAATAAGAGTGAAGCAGTTGCAATAGCTCTTTGCTTACTTTCAAGTGATCCCAACCCCATCTCCTTTGAGTTCATTGATTCCTTCAACCCTCCCTACCTCTGGTCAATAAAATTCGCTGTGCACCAGGTACTGTGAATGTAATAGTGAATTAAACACGATCTCTGCAGTTACAAAGCTTAGCATCTCTAGTGCAGTTACAGCACTAAAGGCAGTGCTGTGATGGAGGAACTTCCCAGGGATATGGGAGAACATATCTGGGTACTCAGCCTATTAGGGGGGTGTGGTGTCTAAACTGAGAGAGGAAGATTAGTAGAGTTAAGCAGAGAAAAGGGGCAGAGCAGGGCAGGATGGGGAGGAGGATCTGCGTGTGTAAATGAATGCATATTTCTAATGTCACAGTGTCCCAGCAGATCTTGGGAAGTTAACTGCAAGCCAATCTAATGTAACTTGACTATGGCAAGTATTCAACTCTTTAAACTAGTGTAACTAATAAGGCTAATTTATACGTTTTTATTCGAGAGCAGAGCAGACTAAACTAAATTGATATTTGCAAAGTAAAGCATCTATGTAGGACATTTCTAGCAAGGCTTTTTTTCCACTTGAGTCTGCATTACAAATATTTCAAGAAGTTTCTACTGAGACAGTTATTTAACACAAGTTCTCATTTCTTAATATAAGGATAAAATGTAAAGTGGAACCTTAAAAAAAAATCCTTGTGGTAACTTTGGTTTGTAATGTAGACTCACGCATTGGTATTTTAAATTCTCTTTTAATGCCATGTAGAATTTTTATCATTGCTTTTTACCTGACAATTCAAATTGTATTGGCATCCCTGGGGAAATCAGATTGCGTAGCTAGTAAAAACAGAGGTGAATAAGTAAACCTAGAACACTGAGAAGAGACAGTTAGAGCCTCGGATCTTTCTAGAAATAGGGCTACAGCTAATTGCCACTTCTATGCGATTGAACAATCAGTCTGTGAACTAGCATCTGGGACTGATGACTGCAAGTACGTATCAGCCCACTAGCTCGAAACTGAACTGTGCACGAAGAAGACAAAACCAAAGAGAGTACCTATCCGATCCAGTCGGTCAATGGCAACCGTCTCAAAGGCTCTTCTCATCATCGGATACTCCTCCAGGACCTCATTGAAGTTGTCCACAGAGAGCGAGTAAAGACGGCAGTACGTGTCAGCTCGGACACTGGCCGTGCGGCGTCCCTTGGTCAGCAGGCAAATCTCTATAAAAACAAGAAGGACAGATTTGTTTGGTCGTTTTCTGTTAGAGGCCATTACGGCCTCCCAAAATTAAAGGTAGAATCGCATGGTGTGAGAACCCAATGATTAGCAGCCTCTTCTGTTTTACCAGCTAATTTTTTTTTGACAATTAAACGTATCCAATTGCCAACACTCAATCTTAAAATATTCTTCTTCTTTTTTAAACAATTGAAGCTTTGGGCTCAAAGGGAACGCTGAGACATATTTATCTTGCCTCAGGTCCCCATTCCATTCCCCTTGAAATAACAGCAACAAAAAAAGATGCAGGAAGTGAATAATAAATGCACAATAGAGTTGAAAACAGGGAGAAACCATGCTGAGGTAGAAGTTTTTTTATGAATTCTGGAAGTGAGGCAGAATGGTAAGAACCAGGAAAATTCCTTGGCACGTGGGATGAGGAAAGAGACAGCTGAACAAACTGGTTGAGCAATTTACAGCCAGGCACAGAAGGTCACCGAGGTGGAAATCCTTGAGTGCCTAGCAAATGGCAAAACTGAGAAAACAAGAACTGTGCTTCCAGTGCGACCTTTCCTCCCCCAGTGTATTACTGGTCGTGAGGTTTAGACCCCCTGACTTTTATCTCTGGTCATGTGGTTCAGACCCTCCCCTGACCTTTCCTCCCCTGGCATATTGCTAGTCATGTGGTTTGAGAGCCCCCTTAGAGGAGAAATAGAGGCCAGAGAGCCTCACAGGAACCCCATGCAAGTCCTCGCTGACCACTCCCTTAAGCAGTCAGCCCTAGAGCTATCATCTAGGCCTCAGTTGTTTTTCAGATCCAGGCCCAGAGAAGCAGCAAAGCCAGACGAAGTGATGCCATGGCCGACATCAGGACCAGCTGCGATGACTAATGACCCCCTACGTTGCAAATGTCAATTCATTTTCATAGACACCATGATCCTGAAAGGACACACCTGGGAAAGCTGATAAATAGAATGTTGAGATCCTTCCCTGAGACCTCCAGATAAAAGCCCTCAAGACCAAGGACACAGTATATGCATCCACCTTGAAGCAAGTCCACTGGTGTCTCCTTTTTGAGTGTATTTTACTTACTTTTCTCTTAAGCTCTAAGGGTTGCGGTGAGACTTGCAACCAGGGGAGCAGCAGGCAGTGGCAGCTCATCCTAGGCGAACCCCCTGAACCTGTCTCCAAGGCCCCCTTTTCTATGACTTTTCACTGAGCTAACAGCAGCCCCACCTTGGCTCACTTCTGCCTCTGTGACATTTACTTCTCAGTGAGTCATGCAGCCCAGCCTTCTTTCCTATAATGTTTCTAGAGAGCCAAAGCAGAGCACCACCTCCGCTCTCTCCTGTTATTTCTTCTATCATAATCCCCTCCTTTATTTCACTATCGCCACCTTCAATAAACATGTTCTCAAAATCATCTGGACTCATGTTGTGAAATCATTAAACCCACACACGAGGCCGGCCCGAGTCAGATGTGCTCTGAGCCTGGTCCCTTTCCAGTGATGGAAAGCAGAAAGCAAATGGTAGCATTATAGAAAGAAACCAAAATGAGCCCAAACATTGGCTTAGAAAGTCCTATGATGAAGCAAAAACTGGACCAGTGGAATGCATTACCAGCATGCCTTATGTAGTTCCTATATTTCCAATAAGATCAGTATAAAATTTTTATTCCATATGCACTGAGGGGGTCCTATTTAAATAACTTCTAAGGAGAACTCTTCATTGAAACTTAGCTTCCCAATATATGGTAAATAAACCTTTGCAAATTTGGATTTCCTTATTTACTAACTAAATGATAGAAGCAATAATTTCATTTTCAAAATTTATTAATTGAATTCCTGTAGGCTAATCCTTAGGGTATCAGGTGTACCAACTGCCCCATGCTATTTTTGTTGACATTAGTTAACCCTGATTATAAACGTCATTCCTCCTGAGATTATTGTCACTTACATGAACAGTCATGTGATAAGGCAGGGCAAACAGCCTTAAGAATTTGCAACAATATTTCCCAGACCTCTAAACCAGAGCTTAACATCGCCGTAACACAAAGCTAGTCATGAACTTACAGCAGAAGTTTGTAAGGTAATGTGTTTAACCTGAGTTTCTAGAATGGGTGGGAAAATTTGTATGTGACTGCTTGTAGTAACCAAGGTAAAAGCTGCTTCTTTCTTTTGTAACTGATGTCATGAAATAAAAGTACTCTCTTGTAGATCAAAATGCTAATTTTCTACAAATTACTTAGGTTTCTAATCCACTGTCTCATAATAATGTGCAAGAAGAAATATCACTTTTTGGTTTTCTTTTTATATTTGTATCTGTAATCTTTCCATCTTTACACTAGTGAACTAGTAAAATAGTATTTCTTACAACATAGGAGATGGTAACATCCGGCTTAAATCAATTTGCATATCAAGCTTGGCTGGTAGAACCATTTTAACTGTCAAATGGAATTGAATAAAAATCTAAAGGAATTAAAAATAGGATAAAACATTAAGTAGATGTAAATTTTGTAGTATTTGATGTATTTTAAAATATTTTTGAAACAGATATTAGATATAACATATTTTCAAATGTAGATATAAAGTGATAGTTATGTGTACCTTGATTATATATCATGATACATATTCTAATAAATAAAATCAATTTTGCTTTTTTCTAGATATAACTGATCATTTCAGTTCCTACAGACATAGTCATAATTGTACAATTATTAGTGTCCTCTACTACTGCTCATCCTGTTATTTAAGACTAGAGGCCTGGTGCATGAAAATTTGTGCACTGGGGGGAGGGTGTACCTCAGCCCAGCCTGTGCCCTCTCAGTCTGGGACCCCTCGGGGGATGTCCACCTGCCAGCTTAGGCCCACTCCCTGGGGACATCCTTAGTGCTGCCAAGGAGGTGGGAGAGGCTCCTGCCACTGCCCTGTGCTCGCAGCAGTCAGCCCAGCTTGTAGCTGAGTGGAGCTCCCCCTGTGGGAGCGCACTGACCACCAGGGGGCTGCTCCTGCATTGAGTGTCTGCCCCCTGGTGGTCAGTGCATGTCATAGCGACCGGTCATTCCCGGTGGTTCCACTATTAGGGTCAATTTGCATATTACCCTTTTATTATATAGGATTATTAAGATCATCTAAAGTTACTGCCTTGTCAAACACACCTTAATTCTCCACTTATGTTTGGAGAGTTAACCTGTGTGTTTCAAGGCAGTAACTTTTCATCTGTCTTAAAACAGAGGATTAGGGTGATCAGCTGGGGCACTGAGTATTAACCTAGTAGTGGCCCTTCAGACAAGTTATGCATTGGTAAACTTGTAATGAGGACGAACTAAAATAGTGCCTATAATGTGCCTAGTATAAGCCCAGCACAGTATGGGCACTCCTAAAACATGAGTGTCCATCCTTTATCTCTTATGTCCCTTCTCCCTGTATGCTTGTGATTTGGGCTCTGTCTGCCAGAATTAAGAAAAAAAAGTAATGCTTCATATATCATGTAACTCTCCAAATTTATGAAGTATATATAATCTTCCACACCCTCCACTCTCTCGCAAACAATTTGTTCATAAAGTAACCACATTGATTCCTTAGACTTGTCTCAAGTACTATGGCTTCACACCCATGAACACCCTTTCTTAAGTTCCCCAGGAAGAACTGATCTTTGTGCCTCCTCTCCACCTTTATCCTCTTGCACCTCAGCCCTTACAACACATTAGTGGACTTACTTGCTTATACGGTATTTCTCTACACTCAACTCTAAGGTCTTTAATGAAAAGTATAACCATCACATATGCAATTTCTAGCACTTACCACACATTTAATCACATAATATCACTTGATTCAAGAAATAAGGAATGAATGAATCAATCAACAAATGTAAAGCAGAATTGACTTATACCAGGATAGAAATATTCTTCATAAAATGAGGTGCTCACATCTGAACACAACATTCCAAATAGCCATATCATTTTGAGGAGTTTTGACCCTATCCACCAGAAGTCACATTGCTCTTATCATTTATCTATTATAGATTATGAATTTGCTTATGGTATGACTATTTTATATTGTTGGATATGTCAATGTCTCCATTAAGGCTTATACATTCCACTCCTTAACCTCTCACCCTTTTCCCTCCCTTAGGAGGTCTGTGTCTTAAAATTCCATTGTGATTTCTTCAAGTACCTAATGTCTACATATGATCACCTTTACACACTACTATCTATAAACTGTTATCTACTATATATTTATAGGGCTTGTCCTTGGCAAGTTAAAATACTTGATGGACTATCCCAGGAATTCTGAGAATACCTGTTGAGCAGGTAGGAAATATTGCTAGCCCCATGTTGGCCATGTGATAAAAAGAAGGTTAAAGAGGACCTGTTATGCGACTGGAACAGAAATCACACAAAAATATCAAAGCTAAGAAGGATAATAGCATAGTTTCCCTACTTCTATCCAACTCTAAAAATCCACCAGACTACAGCAAGCCTTTCCTTTTGATTTTAAGTCTACCAACACTCAACTCTTTAAAAGTTAATCAAACACTTTGAATTATAAATGCCTTTAAAAGCAGCCAGCTTTTTAAAAATTCATCACATGAATTCAGCTCTTAGATACCTCAAGTGTGTGTGTGTGTGTGTGTGTGTGTGTGTGTGTGTGTTGAAGTAATATCCTGACAGCTTTGTTTTCCTATGTGGTTTAATATGCTTACCCAAAATGAAAAAAGAAACGTACAGCAGAAATAATAGTCTAAATAGAAAATATATTCATTAGATATTTCTGAGGGGAGTCTACAACAGCAAAAAAAAAATTGTCTCCCCAATTTTTCTCTGGCTTTCTCTTTTTCTTCCTTACACACATATGCACATACATACATGAATAGTAAAATGGAGATTTAAGTAGACATTTCCTTGGTTTATTTAATGTAAAAGTTAATGCTCAACTGATTCAGACTGGATTCTTTAGTGCAGCATTTCCCACACTTTAATATGCATAAGAATCATCTGGGTCTGT